ATCAAGTTTTGCTGGTTAGATTTGTCCTTCACAATTTTCAGAAATTTTCAGAAATTGTTTTGTTTAAAAGAAATAATAGTAAATTAAATACTAGGAAATGAATATAAAATAAGAAATATACAAAGACAGTTTACTACAGAAAACTACAGTTCAGTTCAATTAACAACAACAAAATAAAATGCTCCAAAAACTGGTAACTTAAATAGGGTTCGTACAGATACCGCAAAATGAAATTCCAGGACTTTCAAGGACTTTTCAAGAACTACCCTTTTGGTTTTCAAGGACTAAAATCAGATCTCACTTATCAAAAAATATTCTTATTGTCTTTCAAATTCTAATATATAAACTAATAAAACAAATGGAACAAATAAAGTGCAGTACATGCAAAGAATGCAATGACTGTGGCAACTTTAACATTTGAAAGGATACTATGGCAAAGTTATCGCTTTCCTTATTCAAACTGTTTTTTTTTTTCATGAGTATATGATTGACCTGAAGAATTAAAGCTAGGCTATATCATACACTTGGAAAATTATGAGCTATATCACTGCTAATCGACACTAGGAGTGTGACAATAAACGTGACAATAAACACGAGATGCATTTATACTTGCTTCAATAGAACGAGACAATGTTTTAATACTTTAAGGAATATTTGAATGACAAAATATTTGTCTTTTAATTACAAAAAATAGAACAATGCAGTTATATTTTGAAATGTTTTAACAAATCTAGGGCTTAACTAACAATTATTTTGCTAATCAAGTAATCTACTGATTATTTTGACAAGTATGTTTTAATAATACAAATAAAACTAAGTGAAAAACAGGCTTTGATATGACAATATTTATATATAAACTAACGATGAGGCAATAATAATTGGCTCAAATAAAGTATCAAAACCAAGTACTTGGTTTTACTGAACAACTGTTAAATACATAATGTAATATGCCTATATTATAACAAATACCTGCAGAATGTGTCAACGGCCTGGTGATGTTTCATGTGATTCAACAACGTTTAAATCCATTTAATTGCAATATTTGGCCACATGCGAAGTCAGAAACTTTTAGTTTGAAATCGCGATCTACAATAAATCGCATATTTAGAAATATGTTGATGTATTCTGTGTTGGCATAGGTTTATAAATGACTTAAGTTACAAATTAAGTGAGATAACGCACAGTTTTCCCAGATGAACGTTAAGCAACCCAAACTCACCACATATGCAGAGGAAGAGTTTAGCCCCTCTTACAGTCTTCACTGGTAAATTACTGTTAAGAGATCATGTGTGAACAGGACCTTTTCAAAAATACAGGTACATTTGTTCTGCCAATCATATCGTTCTTATGGAGATGACGTGATTACTCTGAGCTGTTTACTAAGCTCCGTTAATTATATAGAAAATATGGCTCTAGATGGAAATCTTTGACCATTGCGCCTCGCAGCTTTTTCAGAACGTGTCGCGCTCATCTCTTGCAACAGTTGGATACTAGCTATTACTCATGTTTATGTGGGAACAAAAATGTCTGATTGGCTAGTAATGTTAGTTTGGCTGAGAGTGAAAGCTGTGTTCCTCTCATACATTGGTAGATGAACTCATTAACTCGAACGTGATATCAACAAGTTTTTTTTAAATGTAGGACTATCTTATTTTCCCGCAGCTAAACGCCGCACGCCGGAGATCCGGCACGGTGCCGGAGAACTTTAAGCCCTGTTATAATCGAGCCCTTCAAAACTATTCTACTCAAACTTTCAGGGAAAATGTGACCATGGTGTATTTCATTTCTAGCCTATGTTTAGCTTTTTACTTCTGCTGACAGTATTTAGGCCTCAAAATGTGTTCATTTGTGAAGATTATCATGATGAACGGAACATGTAAGAATCATAAACTTTTGTTGGTCACAGAGCATATTTTCTGCAATTATCCAAAAGTCAATGGAAAAATCTATGGGGTTTTTGTCAAGGGATCCAGGGTGATGCTGACTTACATGTTCGCTTACAAAAAAAACAAAACACACCATCACCTCAGCGCTCCACTGCTGACTATTCTGACCAAAAAGTGCATTAACACAGGCATCATTAATGGGGAAAAAGCATGTTTCCAAAATTGAAAGCTCTCAAACAATGACACCAGACAATATTTTGTAAGCAAATAAGGGAGTGAGAGTGTTTACATGCTGTATAGCAATTGTACTTTTAAAGCATGTTTAATTAGGTAATGACACCTGAGATCATATTCTCCATTAACACAGCAAAAATATAATCTGGTTTTAGTGTATTATTATCTAATATATAAGGACTCAAAATACTATCAACTCAATTATATATGTTGGAAAAAGCAATGATATTCTTGTCAGACTGGGAAAAACTATTTGGAGTGGGTACGTAGATAAATAGAAAGAGGTTGTCCATTAACTGAAGGCATTTTGATGGGTTGTTTATGACAGCGATATAAATTTGTTGTGTTGCACCAAATATAGGGAATAGGAAAACAGGTCTAGTTCTCGCAGTGTCCTCTTGATAGCGTAAACAGATATCAACAAGGCCACATTAAGTCAATGTCATTGGAACTGATCAGACTAAACAAGAAGAGCGAAAGAACGTGTGCTTCAGGTCAAAGTCATCTGGGAAACAGAGTGACCACTCAAAGAAACCAAACAGTGATAGCTCCAATCAGAAAAACGTAACAGCTGCACACAGCCTGTGGTGGGACATAACCACGCTCAGATTCCATTAAAATCTTCATCTCAAACATAAATATAAATGGCTAAGAGGTCCAACAGATGTATTTATTAATGACAATATAGTTTGAGACTAGGGCTGCACGATAAATCGAAATGGAATCGAGATCGCGATTCGACAGAAGCTGCGATTGTCATGCGTATCTTTCAGTGAAGCACGGTTCTGTGATCAGCAGTAAATCTCCATCCAAAGGCCAGAGAAACTCCAAATACGCCCCGCAGAAGAAACCCAGAAAACCGCTGCAGCTGAATAAACAGAAGATTCAACTGCTTTCATAGATTCAACGTGACTAATAAACACACGACTACGGTCGGCAATATACGGTTTATCTGAGTTCTTATTATTATAATTTTCATTCAAATAAAGTCTATTTATAATGCAATGCCTTTATCACTGCTTAAATACTATGAAATATGTTGCGTGCCTTATTCTGTGTAAGAAGCCACATCATCTCACAGAAGGATTTATTTCAAACACTCGACTGACGTTATGAAGTGAGTTTGGAGTAAAAATATGTTATTAAATGTGGTATTTTCACATGCTTTCAGATGGAGCAGCATTTACTTCACAGAGCTGTAGTTCACTGAGAAGCTACGCAAACAGCTGTCATTATCGAGAATGATTTCTTCGATTTTGCGTAACTTGTCAGTGAACTACAAATTATTATTATAAATTCTGCTCCATCTGAAAGCATGTGATGATGATTTACTGCTGATTATAGAACCGGCTTTTTTAACAAAATGCGCATGACAATCGCATTCGATTAATCGTGCAGCCCTATTTGAGACCAAAAAAAATATTTAGTTTTTTTTATTTATTAAATGTTGACATAATTTGTGTAAAAAGAAATGGTGAAAGCTTGTTTTTAAAAATCATGGAAATATAAATAGACTTTGCACATGTTTTGCCTCTGCACCATGTCGGCGTTTTAGCCCAGATACTTTTGTCTGAATATATATAACATAACATAAGCAGCAGCATTTACAAATAACAGCATATCTTAAAGTATGAGACAACAACAAACAAAAAACAGGCCTACCATTAAAAGCCGTGCTTGCACAGGTTCTGCACGATCCTCTTCAATAATATCCTCTGCTTCTCAATCGGGCTCAAGCTGATAAGCGATTAACGAAGCCGTTGTTTACAATACAACCGGAGCACATGCCGCTGAGGTGAGGGGTGGGACGTTTAGACGCGCACTAGAGGCGGTTTAGCCAATCACAACACACTGGGCTAGCTAACCAATCAGAGCCCATCGCCTATTTCTGAGGGAGGGGCTTCATAAAAACAGGAAAAGATCAGCCCTTTTCTCAGAGAAGGGACAGAGCGGTGTGGAATAAAGGTAAATTATGTGAAAAATTATGCGTTTTTTTTAGACTGCACCCCATAAACACAATCAAGCCTAGAAAAAAACCAGTGAACCACTCCTTTAACTGAAAAAACATTATATGTTGGATCAAATTACCTCAAAATTAAATTTTTTTTGTCATGGTATGCAGTGACTGCATGCATCAGGAAAATGTTGCAGTGCATAGAGCGGGTGCTCAAGTGCTGTGGTGGGTTTTGTTGCTTGGAACAAAATAAATCTAAAGGGCCTTCCAGAGCAACATCTAAAATCTATAAACCAAATCCATCCATCCATTTTCCAAAAATCCAACACCCTGGATGGATAAGACACAGACATACATACTCACACACCTATCGACAGTCTCCAGTTTACTGTCTTTGGATCATAGAAGAAACCAAAGCACAGAGAGAAAACTCATAAGGCCTCCAGCTGGGAATCAAACCGAGGAAAATCTGGTGCTACAGAAAGAAATGCAGACCTGCAGTGATTACCTGTACACACTGCAACAATTATTTGCAGGCGTTGTGAGACTATCAGTGTACTCAAGGTTTAAAATGCAAATAAAACCCGAAAGCAGCTGATGGCAGAGAAACAGTGATACATACAGACATCTGTGGCCTCGTCCGATCCGTCCGGGCAGTCCTTCTCCCCGTCACACCGCCAACCTTTTGAGATACACGTCACCTGATCCCTGCAAACAAACTGCTTGGGGCTGCAGGTTTTTGGAGCTACAAAAAAGAAGAAGCAAAACAAAGGATGAGTGCATTCAACTATTAGCACCTCAAACGAAAGCATATTTTCAGCCCATAGGAATGTTTGTGGTCTGGCCAGGGTTTGGCAGTGTACGAGGACGCCAAGCACTGTTAGTTTACCGCTAGTTACTGATGTGTGTTTCAAAACAAGATAATCTGCCCGCCAGACTGTTTTTCCCCCAGCCTCACCATTTCCCTTACAAGGCCAATGTCTGACTTCTATTCTGGTCCAATACGGTTCAAAATAAGCAACAAACTCTACTCTACTCTTAACAAAAGTCAGTCAAATGTATCAACCATTTATCAATTCACTAATAGAATGAATCCCAGTGTGATTTCAGAATTAGACATTACCGTATAAGTAAATGACTTTTCTAGTCTGTGACTATACTGTTTTCTCTCTTTGAATATATTGGGGGGGGGGGGGCGCCCCACTTTTAAATGAAATATGTGTCCCTGGAACACAAAAGTAGTCTTAAGTCGCTGGGGTATATTTGTAGCAATAGCCAATAACACATTGTATGGGTCAAAATTACAGATTTTTCTTTTACGCCCAAAATCATTAGGATATTAATTAAAGATCATGTTCCATGAAGATATTTTGTAAATTTCCTACCGTAAATATATCAAAACTTCATTTTTGATTAGTGATATGCATTGCTAAGAACTTAATTTGGACAACTTTAAAGTCGATTTTCTCAATATTTAGATTTTTTGGCACCCTCAGATTCCAGATTTTCAAATAGCTGTATCTCGGCCAAATATTGTCCTATCCTAACAAACCATACATCAATGGAAAGCTGAATAGCTTTGAGATGGTGTATAAATCTCAATATCAAACATTGACCCTTATGACTGGTTTTGTGGTCCAGGGTCACATATGTCAAGCACTGACATTATACTGTAAATAATGATTCATCTCAGAGTTGGTTGGTCTGGTTCAAGGTTTAGTACACTTTATTGAAGAAATGTCTGAAATGCCTAATGGAGAAAACAAATGGAAAAAGAGCATTTCCAGAAGCCAAGCCGCTGGAAAAGGAGGCAGTCTGTGTCGAGCAGTTTCCCCCTCTTCTCCTGACTGTACGCGTTTGCAGTCAGACCCGCGCGCTTCCACACATCCAGGTCAGTGTTCCCACACCAGTGCCAGTGATGCAACGAGTCTACAGGCCATCAAAGGACATCTTGTTCTGGTTTGGCTGCATAAAGAGCAAAAAATGTGACTGCTTTTCACTGGTCGTCTATTTGGAATCAAGTGCGAATTTATTCCAGACCACCTTCTCAAAAGCTCTCTAAAAACCTCCCATCTGCTATCGGCACCGTACCTCCAGACATAAACAGTAAGGAAAGCAGAGCTGACTATCAACAGCTACGTCCTCCACAACACTGAGCTTCCCATCTGCAGGAAAAGAGGTGGAAGCTCAAAAGATGTGCAGAGAGATCCTTTTCTACATTATACATCGCATTGTCAAAGTATTTTTTAAAGCTGTAAATAAAACAAAGATTATTGGAGACAAGAAAGTACTATTTCAGTCTTTCTGCTTCAAAATTTCACGTTCATTTCGATGTGTTCCTTGCCGTAAGCAATTTTCACTCAGAAATTTCACACACAATTACAAGGAACGGCAAAATGAAACGTGAATTTTGAAGTCGAAAAACATAAACAGTATACTTCAGTAATCTTTATTTCATAAATCTCTGAAAAATCATTTTAACGCTGGTGAATGTTTACGTCAAGGGTTCTAATGAATGATATTACATAAAATGTATAACACGCTGACAAAAAAAAAAATGCAACAACTTACAGTACATTCTGAAATGTTTCAAAAATGTAAGTGGCGGGAAATTAAAATGAACCCACACAGTTTTAAACACTGAAAGTTCCCAGAAGTCTGTTTCTCTTTAAGGTGAGCACGCACACGGTGTTTATTTATTTTTTATACTGTATATATTTTTCTTAAACAAGCCTGGTTATTGGTTATTTCAGAGCATTCCAGGCCTGCGAAGACATGAAGGGCGTCTTTATGAGGCTTTCTGACAGTGAGGAAAAAGTGCAGACATTGTACACTACCGCAAAACTACGGTAGACGACTGTTGTGATCAAGACTATTATTATTCAGAGTTCTGACTCAGCTGAGAATTCTCAACTCTTTTAACGCCATCGATGGATTTTCTGTTCTTCTGGTTCATTTGACCTCAGTGACTCTAACATTCTTTACACATGCTAACTGCGATACTTGGCTCCTCACACTGAGCCGAGAGTAGTGTGCGTACGCAGTGCTAAAGTGAAGTGCAGCTGTAACGGCAGTGGAGTAAATGAGAGCATGAAAGAATGAGAGAATAATAATTATTATTATTATTTGCTGTATGCATACTTTTTTTTTCTAATATAGGAATGGCATGTCTGGGGCTTCAAGTCTTCAGTATTCTGAGGTTAAAGAAACAATAGCAAGTTCATATGGTAGAGCTCAAGCAAAGAGTAGATGGAAATATAACAGAGCTCTAACTGCCGCACAATATAAAGATTGAATTAAGCTAAGCGATCCCATTAACTATAATCACAGACATTCATCATAGAAAAAAAAATGATTTTTTCTTAAAGATGAGCAAAGATAGGCTTGTCTGGAGTCTGTAAAGTAGGTGAACAGTGAATAATAGTGAGTAATAGGCTGTAGTCTGCAGACGGTATGCGACTGTAATTACATTACGAATATAGAAAATTGGATCAGAGCAAAGGAAAAGAACAATGAAGAGAAGATAAAGAAGGTAAGAAGGGAACAAATGGAGCACGGCACAGGAGAAAGTCACACATGCTATCAATCAGGGCTGTGATTGTCTTTTAAATACAGCTTAATTCCTGATTTTAAACTGAGGTAGCAATCAGGACGCAGAATCGCAATTCAGATGATATAAAGAATTAAAGAGTCCTGCAATTCAAAGATATTCACTTAACTGCTATGTGTGTAATTTTAATTAGAAAAAAGTGCAACTTTAATGCATGTTTCCAGTCTTACAGGATATGAGGCTTTATAATCGCTAATCAAAACACCTATATAATCTACAAAAAATATTAAAACGGCTGTTTTAGTTCAATTAGTGTGTTTCTTCGTTTCTTTTGTACACCAAAGTTTGATTCTGCAATTCGCTATATTATTAGACAAGATTTTGCTCTAATGAACATCTAAAGAAAGTTGGGTTACACTTTATTTTAAGGTGTCCTTGTTACGGTGTAATTATACATTTAAGTACTGAGTAATATTAATTAGCTACATGTACTTGCTATATGATTAGGGTTACGTGCATGTACAGTAATTATGCATCATTTGTTATTATAATAGTAAGCACATGTAACGTGTAACAAGGACACCTTAAAATAAAGTGTCACAAAAAGTTGTTAGCCGGGTACTGTATAATTGTGACATCCCAGAGAGGATACTTTTTTTTGTTTGTTTAATATACTGTAGCTTAGTAAATGGTGAATATAGGTCCTCATTGCATTTGTGCTAGATAAATATAACTCATTGTTAGTAACTTACAACTGCCACACTTCTACAGGAGACACCTTTGGTGTGAATTTCCTGCCTGATGAAGACAATGCTAAATTGGAGACAATGTACCCGAAAAATAGGAAAACACTGAGGGCGAAGGAAAGCAAAAACTCGACAGAATTACAGGTATGTGCACACACATGTCAGACCCACAGGAGAGTTGTGGCAACTTTGTGGCAAAATTAAATTGAAAAATAAGCAATAATATATTTCTGCGGCTTGAGTAGGTGTGGAAAGCAAACAGTCCCATGCACAGACGGTCATGCCAGAAGGTGCAAACATACTTCTGTTGAAAAAAAATCCCCATTGATGCTGAACAGTAAGAGTGGACGGCGTGACCAAAATCCTTTGACAAGACATGAGTCATTTGAGTCATCAACGGTAACAAAACTGTTATTTTTGCTAGAAATGATGACATAGGAAAATGCTGCAGTATGCTATATTAAAATGATGGGGTTGTAAAGTTATGATATATCCACAATGATTTTGCTGCCAATATAAAATGTAGTGAGATCTAATGTGCTTTTTATTAGACTGTTACGTTTCACAGAGACCATTAGATCAGATCCCTATGAAACCGAGCTGTTTTATCTGGCTTTCTCTTTAATCCTAGTCCGTTTGAATGAATCAATTCCATCCTCAGCATGTTCACAGCACATGCCATTTTATGTTTAAAATGTTCTAGTAAGTTCCTCTGATAGAAAAAAAGATGGTTACACTTTACTTGAAGGGGTGTGCATAAGACTGACATGACACCTTCATAATCATGACATGACACATGTCATGAATATGAAGGTTTTTTTATGCATGTTTATGACAACTGTCATTAAGTGTCATTCACTCAGTTATGTAATTTTTAATGCAAAGATGACATTGTTTGAGATGTCTTTGTTATGGGCTATGGTTAGGGGTAGGGTTAGGTTAGGGTTAGGTCAAATAATGTCATATTTGCATTAAAAATGTCATAACTGAGCGAATGACACATAATGACAGTTGTCATAAACATGCATAAAACCTCCTTCATATTCATGACATGTGTCATGTCATGATTATGAAGGTGTCATGTCAGTCTTATGCACACCCCTTCAAGTAAAGTGTTACCAAAAAGATAAAGCCACTTAAGACCAAATACATAAATATGGAGATATATGCTGTACTTCATGAAAGGGCTGAAAAAATATAGAATGTTTTATTATATTTTATTTTATTTTTCCCAGCGATTGAGGGTAGGGCCTTAGTGGCAAGCTAAGCATATACTTTTTTCTGACATTATAACCATTTATACTGACTATTAAAATAGTAATAGTCATACTCAAGTAAATGAGGCAACACATTAAACATCAAATACACACTGTTGTGAGCCAAAAGTTTTCAACATAAGGTTTTATCATGAGACTAGTTTGAAAAACTATAATACATGTTACATCTACA